ATTTCTATGTATTTTATTCAATAAAATAAATGTTCAAAAAAAAAAGTGAGCACTGTGTACTTTGCATGCTCAGATAATTTTACACATTGGATGCAGTAAGGGTAAATGACCAGAGCTATATTAAGACTCAGGAATAGGGGGTATGGGCCTCGGCAGACGGCTTAATTGAGCCGTCTCCGAGGCCAGGAAGAGGAGGGGCCACCGCACGCGCGGCGGCCCTTCCTCTTCCTGAGGTCGCCCTGAACGCTTCCGGGCCACCGGACGTCCGGCGCGTTCAGGGCGACCTCCTCCCGCAGCGTCCGGACGCGCTGCGGGGGATAAGTCAGAGAAAGGGCGCCCGCCGCTTTTAGGGCGCCCTTTCTCTGACTTATGAAAGGAGTGCCTTTTTGGCGCTCCTTTCAGGGTCGCTCTAGGAGCGCCGCGGTGGGGCTGCCATAGCCCCGCGGCGCTCCGGACCAGGGCGTCCCAAACGCCCTGGTCTGCAGAGGGGGTATATTGAGGATAGTCATGTTAGAAAAGAGGTTGCTGTGTATAGGTATGTAGGTGTGTACCAGGTGTGTCCATTTCTGGGGGAAATAATCTAGTCACAGTTGCTCATAGATGGAATACAATTTACATCAGTGTTTCCCCAACTTTGGTCCTCAAGGTGTTTTGAACTTCAGCTCACAGAAGCGGCAATCAGTTTGGCCAACAATCAGGAATTCTGGGAGCTGAAATCCAAAAAATATGGAGAGTCATAGTTTGGGAACCACTGCTGTACACAGAGCTTCCCTTTAAGTGCAAGGGCATAGTGAGGGCATAGCACCAGTCTTAAAACATCCCACTGGCTTCTCTTTCATATTGGATTGGCATCAGGATGCCTGAAAGACCAACTGTTCATGTTCAAGTCTTCCTGAAGCCTTTGTATATTTTGTATATCCTGACACCCAATTATTTGTTCCACCTCTTAGACATGTGAAGGTAGAGGGAATCATGACAGGGTCTATTATGTAGCTAGAGCCAGCATGGTGTAGTGGTTTGAGCATTGGACTACGACTCTGAAGATCAGGGTTCAATTCCCTGCTCTTGCATAAAAATCCACTGGGTGACCATAGGCAAGTCACACTCTCTCAGCCTCTGAGGATGGCAATGGCAAACCCTGACTAAAGAAACTTGCATGAACAAAGGGTAGACAAATAGAAGATTTTTCAACTATTGTACAGGGAGAAGTGACACAAATTTGTAATGGATCATTCCTAGCTTTTAATACATACCTTCCAACATGGTGTAAAAGAATGAGGTATTACTCCTTCCATCTGCCAAATGATAACTGCATTTGTGAAGCACTGACAAATGGGACCTCAGGGGTTTTTTTTGGGGGGGGGGAAT